AAATGAGCTGGAAAGGGCATATTCAAATTTTAGCTGAGGAACGTAAGAAAAGACTAAACATACTAAAGTGCATTTCCCATAATAACTGGGGTGCAACATATCCAGCTGATTACCTACAAATTAATAGTACGATCCAAGTTTGACTATAGATCCATATTATATGATTCAGCTAGTAAAAGAGATCTTAGAAAAGTTGATGTTGTACACAATAAAGCTCTACGAATAAGTACTGGCTGCTTTCATATCAGCCCCATTGGCAGTATCCTAATAGAAGTCAAAGAACCAACTCTAGCTCATCGTAGACAAATGCTAACCCTTAAATATTCCATGAACACAGCAGAATCAAATAATCCTATAATCTTCCTCGATATATACTCCAAACTTCAAAATTACTACAAAGTTCAAAAATGCTATTCACCAGTCTATACCAAAGTAAAAATCTACTGTCACAGCTAAGCCGTCAGGAACATATAATCAATTGAATCTCGTATCTCAATAGAATCTTGTATATCAATGGAAAAGAGAAATAATAGTATACCACCATGGACAAGCCCTGATATAGTAGCAGATGTATCACCAGAAACACCCCCCCCAAAAAAAAGGCTAAAAAAGATAGGAAAATAAGATTTGATGAAATAGAAAATAAATACAAAGATTCCGGTAATATCTATACAAAAGTTATCAATAATAGAGCTGGAAAGTTTGCAACTACAATTACCAAAGATGTTAAAATTAGCTCATCATCCCTACTTCAGTACTACTACTGCTGAAATATGTTCAATAATGACAGCCTTCAAAATGTCACAAAAAATCATAAATAACAATTTTGTCATATTCTCTACTTCTCTTGAGGCAACAAACAATATTCGCAATAATTACCCAAGTCTACCAATGATAAATAGTATTCATGAACTATATCATGACATTATACAATCTAAAACGACTCTCATAATTGCCTGGATACCAGATTAGAAAACATTGCCTGAATACAACACAATGAGCCTCGAAGAAGAAAATGTAAGCCCTGAAACAGAAAGTATTTTAACAATATCACACGTCTGCAAAGATTTATGGACACACGTCAAGAAAATAATGGATGAAAAGTAGAGCAACCTCTGGAAAACCACGAAATATTGCCCTCTACACAAACAAGTAAAACATTTTACTCTCTGAAAACTAACAAAAATTGTCATGAAGAGATCAGGTAACAATAACAAGAATACGAACTGGTCATTGCAAGTTCAGTCATCGACACTTGTTGACTGGAACTTTATGTAAAGTTATAATATTAATATTGTTAAGCTGTATTTAAAGTAGTCCCTAATGACCACAGTTGTTGATGCGACTATAATAAACTAAAGAAAGAATATAGCACCCTAAATAACCTTATAATGTAACTCCAGAATTCTATATATAGCATATTTTTTTAATAGGAACAAAGTTAATGCAAGGATTAGAGAAATAAAGAATGATTACTGGATCTCCTTCACCATGCGACCTTCAACATGATTTCTATGGGCGACAAAAAGATATCTGGAGATTCATCAGAGGCCAGAGGCCAAAAATAAATGAACTTATTACCACACATAAAGTATCTATTGAAATATGGATAAAATACTTTAGAAAACTACTCCTTGATGACACACCGGAGATAGTAGACTTGGTTGAAGATTTTACACGAATGCGTAGACTGTGAAGAAATATCAAAAGTAATCGGAACGCAACAAAATCGGAAGTCACTAGGAAAAGATAGAATATATAATGAGCTCGTTAACTACGGAGGGAAAATCTTATGCGTGAAAATAACCAAACTTATTAATAAAATTTTAAATGATGCAACAATACCAAAGGAATAGAAATCGAGCATTCTTCTCCCTCTACTTACGAAATGAGACAAGCATGATCCAGATAATTACAGAGATATAAACCTTCTAAGCAGCTCATTGAAAATCCTTCCAAAATGTATAGCAAACACTCTCGTGAATATGATGGAATGGGAAGAATAACAACAGGGTTATAGACGCGATAGATCACTGACGCAATTTTGCCATCCGACAAATCGTTAAAAAAGCTCTAGAATTTAGTAAACCAGCTTTTCTATGCTTTGCGGACCTAAGCAAAGCATTTGACAATATAAAATTAATTGATACCATAAGAATACAGAAACAAGAAAAGGTGCCCTCTAACCTTTTAAAACTAACATACATACATCCCCTGGTCCATATATATACAGTAAACAAAATAAAGATTAAAAACCAGGCGAAAATATTACTTGCTATACCTGCATCGAAAGAATTACGACAAGGGGATTCATTGAGCCCATTGTTATTTAATATAATAATGAATAGAATTATAAAACAACTAAAAACAAAAAAGGATATAGTGTGGTAAAATATAATATAAATATCAAATGTTACCCACAACATATTGTTAATAGCTGAAAATATAGATGACTTACAACTATTACTGTACGAATTCAGTAAAGTTAGTAAGAATTTTAATTTACAAATATCTACTCAGAAGACGAAATCAATGACAATTGCTAAGAATCAAATTAGGTGTAAATTGGTAGGGGATAATCAAACAATAGAACAAGTTCTAGAGATGACGTATTTAGGAATAAATTTAACAAGCTCAGGACACACGGGGAAAGAAATCAAAGAGCAAATAAAGGGTAATAGGATCGCTAGCGGTCACTCAATGTGGTATAATAAACACTCGAAGGTTAGAATATATCAATCAATGATTATACCAATATTAACATATGCAGGAGAAACAAGAAGCGGAACGAAACACCCAACAACAACTTAGGTGACCGAAATGAGAGTTCAGAAAAAAAATCACACTGTACTGGGTAACGAAAGAAACAGAAATATAAGGGAAGAGTGCAAAGTTAAGCCGCTTACGGAATGGGTAGCAGACTGAAGAAAGGAATGGAATGATCATATTGAGATAATGGAGTAGAAGAATCATGAGGATTACTAGGGATGAAAGGTCGAGGGGAAGATGGAAAGCCTTGGCAGACCAAGGAAAAGTTGAACAGACTTCATAATTCTAGGAAAGCAACAATTTTAAACTTCTTTAAAAGATGAAGAAGAAGACATATTTATATGATTTGTGTTAGAAATGGGAAATGTATGACAAATACAGTATTCTATAGAACTTAAACTTGTGGTGCTACAGAATGGCACAGACTTTCCTGTATTCGTTTTCTATTACCTTTCGTCTCGGCAAACTATTCGGACTAGCCATATACTCTTGCCAGCTGCTATCTATTGCCGCCTACAGTACATTTTTTTTCTCAGTTTTTCGGTTTACAAATAGTAGAACGGAAATATTATTTTAATGATATTAAAGAACAGTAAAATTTAAATGGTATTTATCTTCGAAGAATTTTGAGTTGTTTTTACGAAAATGGCGTTTAATCGCTACTGTAAAATCGAATTTTTCACATAAAATTTTGAAGTATTGGAAAAACTTCATATGAAGTTGTTTGAAGAACTTTAACTTACAAATACAATAATGTTTACAAATTTCTGGAAGTTTCTTACTAGAAAGTTCCATTAATGGTTATCAATACGTTGGTCCAAGATATTTGTTTCTGCTTGGAATGCGATTACAAATTCCGAGAGCTTTTCACTCGACTATTCTTAGTCTGGAGGTTTGAAAGGTGCCTTCACAGGAAAGACAGCTTCACAACGTCCTTGGAATACAAATAACTAATGTGCAGATGAAATATGCTTTAACTGCACAATTCCTTATTAATTGTACCGGTGATATTCTAACTAAAAGTACCGGATGAGTAAAACGTATGGTAAAAATAATTTTTAGGTTAATTGCCTCAGTCCACAGCATCGGAAGTGGGAAATCACCTGGAACTTACATCCTGGAATTTACTCTGCCATTCGAAATATAATAAACCCGATTCGACAATAGGGCGGACGCACGCTGAAGCACGAACTAGGGTTGTTGCAATTAGCGCGTACTTTCTTGTGATATTTGTAACGGTTTTGTAATATTGAACAAGCTTTGTAATTTGAACCCCGTGTGTGTCCCCAACCAGAAAAATATTTTACAACACTGGAATTCCATCTCAGATCTTTGGGTTTAACAAGCAGCTACACAACCATTACTCTATTGCCTGAATCGCCATAACAATCTTCTCGAATTTGAACATTTGAATCGAAGCAAACAAAAACATTCAATGTAACGTTTTGCCGGTTATGAGTTAACAGTGGGAAACATCTTAAAATATAGTTTCAACTTTCCATTCATAAATTTTGTTGTCTGTTCTGTGACGTCTGTAGAGTGTCCTCCAACTGTCAATGTTAAGAAAATATATTCGATATCCGGAACATGGAACTTTTTTGCTAGCTCTTCAAATTTTGAAGTTCCTCGACATCGAACGTTTTTGTTTTTATCGATTATTTGCTATTTTCGAAAACTGAGATGTATTAAAGCAATTTCAACGAGATCGAGTAAAAAATAAAAGAAAATTCACGTGTTCGACAAAATCTTATTTACGTTATTTTTAATACTCTCAATTTCACTAAAAAGTACTCAGAAATAACTGATTTTTTCAAAACATTCTTATGATTAAAAGATCTAATTTGAAGAACAGATTTCATTGTAAAAGAATTTGAATTATTATAATAACACAGTTACTTTTTAAAATGCTCTATATGAATTTAAAATAGAAAACGTAACAAGAATTTCAATATTATGGTGCAAATTCTTAGTACATAGATCACTCTAAATTTGCCTAATTTTGAAATCATTGCCCTCTTTAAGCTAAAACCTAACTTTGCCCATTCATGGAAATGCCAAAAAGCTTTTAGGGATAACTTGAGAGAGTTAAAAACATTTACCAAATTAGAAGTCTCCTATTCGCATTACAATATTTTGAATGATAACTCAATGTTCATTACTGTAATTCAACTTTCATAATACAATTTTCGGTTAGTACTCTTTCAAAACATTTATAAAGAACAAATCTTTTTTCACGATAATGTTCGTTTTACAAGAGTTACCTGTAAAAAGTTAATGGATTTATAATTTCACAAACCAGGATGAAGGTATTTAGGAACAAAAAGTAGGACTTGTACATTTACCACGATAACGAACCATACACTAAAGTGGTATTTTGCAATTATGAAGCTGTGGATTCTCTTACACGAATGTTACCCTGCTGAAATGAACACATTCACTACAATCTTCATAATTGCCAGCCTTTTCAGCAACCTGGTGAGTTTCGAAATATTTTATTTGTTAAAAAATAGCTCCATCATTTAGAATAAGTTATCGACAGCGTTGATTATCACATACGAGACAAAAAATTAATAACACTGGTTAACCTTCTCAAATTTAGCATAAATACATTTGGCCGACCGAGAAATAAAAATAGCGTTGTTTTAATTCTAAATGTTCAGTCAAAATTGTTGCTTTTTAATAACAAAAATGCTTTGATTATACGCTAACCTAGTTGACTATTTTTAAAAACAAAATATGAAACAACAGAAACGAGAGCAGAAGCTGGAATCTGCCTACTGTTGTCCTGAAGTGTACCTATTTTAGTGGAAGTATCATGTGTAATAGAAAAATTAATGTATAATACTGTTACAAATTGAATTGAAACACTAAAGAAAATGAATAATATCTCTGGTGAGTGGTCTAGTTTAAATTAAAATGCTTAAAGATAACTGTTTCTATTCAAGAATAGTAAACATGTTTTTCTTCACATATACGATATTTATAAAAGAATACTGGAATTTGACCATAATTGACAGAGAAAGAGAGAGAGAGAGAGAGAGAGAGAGAGAGAGAGAGATGGAGGGACAGAGACACAGAGAGATAGACTGATACAAACAGATACAGAGAGACTGAGATCGGAGAGAGAGACGGATAGAGCTATAGTGCAGATGAACGGCCACTTGGAAAATATCAATATTTGATATTAAACTTTTATTAATATAACGTTAATTCCACGAAATATTTCAGTACCTCATGTAAATGAATCATCGCCCATATTTTGACGGCAAGACTCTCTTTTTACAGGTATCGTCAAATGGTATATCAGTATCATCAAGTTCTTTGGAGGAGGGGTATAAAAAACCTGACGAAGCCGAACTAAAGAGCTTCGTCAACAAAGTCGTTATTGCTGGTCGGAAATGCCCAAATGGAAAACATTGTAAGTGGACAAGCATAAATATGTTATATATTAACCCGCTCTTCATTAGGGGTCCACCTAAAGCCTTATAGCTTCCATCTTTGCCCTTGTAGCTATTTCTATAACCAAAAGTTAATGGTCTGGGTTGTCTATACGACTGGTAATTACCTAAATGATAACATTAAATTGTTTGAATTTATTTAGATCTGCTAACTGATATTTTTACTTACAAGTAACTTATTCTTTAAATTGAATTCGGACATTCATGAATGGTTTCATGAGTTTCAATGTGTATGTAGCCCCGAGGCTCATCTGTATCCTGTATCCATGTCAACTGTCTATTTAATCCATTGAAGCATTGTTCTGGGTGCAGGGAGCATGTTCGATTTCACAAAATAATCGCACTTAGATTTGATAGGTTATCATTCTGGCCAAGAATTAAGTAAGAGTTGGAGTGTGTTATAGAGATGATACATGACCAATATCCCCATACACCAAACATTACTTAAAATATTGTCTTGCGCAATATTCAAACCCCTCAATGACCGCCACTTGGGCGCACTTTCCCCAACCCCTCTGCTAGAAGCCCAGCTGTCTTTACACTCCTATTGGTAAGAGTTACCTAAAATGATAACAAAGGTAAATGATGCTGCAAATATGGACAGTATCGGCTATGGTGTTATGTGAAACTATTTCCGATTGATTGTGTCTGCATGCAGTCTGGGAGAGTGCGTTAACATCCTACCAGGTTTGTTGATTCGTGCATTCGCACTCTGGAACTTTAATTGTCAAAAACACGCTAAAGGCGCTCTGCCTTTATAACTTCGTATAAACGCTCACGCTCTCGTTTTAAAAAAGAATTAACTTCAGGCCGTATTTTTGTAAGATTAGACTGTTAAAGTGTAATGTATGTATGTATATATATATATATATATATATATATTATATAGTATTAGTGTAACTAGCCTTAGTTCTATGGTCGTGCGGCAAGAAACAAGTTCATTTGGCAATGGCCATAAACCTGCATGTGGACATATTTCCCTCAAATTACAATGCTTTTGAAAAATAACAACAAATATACTTGAATCACTTCTTGGTATTTCTCTAGGTATTTCAACTTGACGCAAAAGTGTTACATTTCATCATAATGCTGTTAATTTGGCCAATGTTGACATATATAAACAGCAAAATTTGAGGCGCTTAACGTGGCCGTATTACCTTCAAATACCTTATATTAAAAGCTATGGGCTTGATACAGTTCAACTATCATATCCAAATCTCCTAACACATTTGCTTGAAAAAGCACACCGCATCTATTATCCAGTATCTTCAGAAATAGTTTCTTCATTTAAATAGCGGTCTGTTATTCAGTATCTTCAGCATAGTTTCTAAATCGTTCAGAAAACGTACGCAGTTGAACTTCTCCCTCATACGTCACATAGTTTTATTGTTTTTTACTAAATAAATAAAATTTAAATTCAACTTTTATATTATCCCAACGACATTTAATACCATTTATTGTTAAAGACACAACGTTCACAAAATTTCTTTAGCTTTAAAATCTATCAATTTGGCACGAAATAACAGGTTTATCAAAATTATAATCTGTACAAAAAATGTATAATCCTCCCCTTTCAGTAGTATAGATCAATTTTTCGGCTCTCACATGCACCCGTGCTTTACAAATGAGGTCTCTAAAAAAGAATTTGACGGATTCATGACGAATTGCACTTTAACTTTGAAAATATTACGTATTTATTGAAACAACGCATCTAAATGTTCATATCAAATGCAACCGGCAACACTAGACCAGTGTTGCCGGTTCTACACCTGTACATCTATATAGTTATATACATCCAAAGCGTTCAAAGGTCTTTAAACATGGAGTTTTGTGGCCAAATGCCTCAAAAACCGTTCCTCGCATCATAATATATAGGATGAAATCTTGAACATTCAATTACATTTTTGTTGGCTCGGGTGCTTCTCGTTTCACATGCGAGATTCTCGCACAGGTTTGCTCATTTTTCAATATTACGTAACTATTTTCAATATGTATATACATATGTGTGTGTGTGTGTGTATTCTAACGAATGCTCCTCCAGATAGTAATTCCCAAAATCGCCTTTGGGGACCTCGCAGATATCGTGCTCTTACGAGCTTGTAATATATCAGGGTAGTGGGATCTTTTGGGGTGTTGAGAGCAAATCCAATACAAGAACACATAAATCAGTTAATCAGGGTTTAATAATCTTAATAACCTCTTTCATTGCTTACAAATTCACACCAATATGATAATTAAACACAATAGCACAAAAATTGAAACCCTTTCCAGCAAGAATTAATCATTAAACTATTCGCCCAAATGATCACTAGGAACTCCCTTTGTAACACTTTCTAATTAAATTTGCAACAATTTCTATTCACATTAACCAATGACATAATACACAATTTAACAATTCAGTCAAATATCTTCACTACACAAAACTCGTGTGCAGATGCACCACACTCTCTACAACAATTTCGCTAGGCCGCGAACAACATAAACTAATATTGAGCTATTTACAGTCTCCTAGGCAATAGTGCTTTTAAAATAGCAAGGATCTTTGAATGATACTCAGATGCCTCCTGTATGCTTATTTCCTTCACAATTTCCTGGTCAACAAGTTCTCGGCGTTATCTCCCGCAGCTGCGTCCTCCGTGCTCCAACGCTCAACCTCGAAGCGCCTCGGCCTCTGCGCAGCCGATCGCGGGCCCCGGGTCGCCGGTGACTTCTCGCTGCTCTCTTGCGTCGTCTTTCCCGTCGCCTTCTGCGTTGTCGTCCACGTCGCCTTCTCCCGGCTCCTTTCGTCCTCGTCTGCTTCGTCTCCCTCGGCCGCGTGCGAATGTTCCTTGCACCGCATTGAAGAACTCGTGCGTATTTCCTGCGTACGCATAGCTCTCGCACGCAGTGTCCCGAATTTCGGCGCTGGTTGCAATTTACTTCATATCAGCCCGAACTATTTCCCGAAGTTAATCTAATCTACTAGTTTTTGTGGAGCTGAGGACAATACCTCAGCTCCACAAAAACTAGTAGATTAGATTAACTCCTCGCGTCGTATCTGAAGAAATACTTTCTTCCAGAAAATGTCTAACAAAGTTCGCTGACGGTTCTCTAGGCATGTCCGACGTCCAACACTCCTACCTAGTAACTCGGCAAAGTTGTTGCTGGATCGGCGGTGAAGAACTGAACAGAGTGCTGCTGGCTCGAAGATCAGGAACGAAAGACAGTGACTGTGGGCGCGCCTATTTATGCACGCGCCCTCCGTGTAGGGGTAGTGCGCGTCGTCTCCCCCTCGCCAGAACAACAGAAGTGTAGGCTGCGGCCGCGCCCTTTTCAAACCGCGCCGCACTCGCTCACCCGATCTACCACCCGCAGTCCGCGAAATAATTATTTAACTCAACGCCATGATTCACGCCCCTGGACGAGACACCTCGACACCCTAGCCATGGGCAGCGCTCGCTTGGGCCGCCCCCACGGCCTCTCCCCACCGTCATTTGACCGGAGCGCTATTCTCTGCACTCGAACCGACCACGAACAGTATCGGTAAGCGTGGTTACCGTCAACTGTCAGTAGAAGCTATTCTGTACACATCCGTAACGATAGCTTGACGCTTCTAGCCGTCGCTACCGACGACAATGAGATGAGATGATAATGAGAACGATGATGAGAATCGCTGTCGCGACCGACGGCTTGGTTCCGCATCGATAGGCTCTTAACGATGCGTTTCTCAGAGACGACGAATTATGAATTGTACGCTATCCCGCTGTTTTCCTCTTTCCACAGAAAAGTAGAACGTAGAATTAACTTTTATCGTGGTACTGACA